CCCCAAAACCCCAAAACCCCTTAATACTTGATTATTAAAGATTTAAGAAGTTTATGAAATAAAGATTAGGAAATAAAACTTATGTGACTAATATCTGTCTTGGTAAATAATTTAGGTCTAACTGTCTAATATAGTAAACTTAGTTCAATCTAGGAGTTCTTAATTTCCATCAATTTCAAATATCCTCTGCTGCTGCATTATAATAATATTAGGTCCAGCTGGATTTTGAGGATTTCCCCCTGATTATCCATTGAGTATGGCTTTATCTCTTTGAAGAATGTCTTATCGCATCAATTCTACTCTGCTACTCTAACTGTCAAAGATCATGATGATTAGCTCTTTGAGCTATCTAATCTGAATCTTAATGATCTCATACTTATCAATCAATTCTTTATTTTTACTTTCTTACTGTGTTTCATCCACCTTGTTATTATTTGCAAACGAGCCTAAAGAATCTATGTCATCATTACTTCCATTAGAGGAGTTTTGCTAATTGGTATTTGTGCTTCCTCCTACAGAGAATTCAGAAGTATTATTTCGCTTTAACTTCTTGAGGAAGTAAATGTTAACTTGATTCTTAAGAATATTCAATAAATCTGCTGGCACTTCTGGGAACATCTTCTACACCTCTTTTGGAGGCTAACAGAGCTTTTGATTTAAGATGTCTAAGCTTTCATGAGTCAACCTTTCATAAAACTTTTACTTATGCTTGGCTGAGTCTGGATCCTAAAGGCATTTAATGTTCAACTCTAGCTCTTGAATAAGGGCATTTTTGCCGGAGTAGCTTTCCATCATCAACTCCAGCTATTTCTTCTAGATCTTGCCCTTTTGAATGGATTTGAATGAATTGATCTATTCAATGGCTTCAAGCATGAAAGATAGCTAGTTAGCCAATCTAACCAGAATGTCAATGATAAAGGTATTTGCAGATTAAAGTAGAGTTAAATAGTGGGCTACTTAATTTAGGTTTCTGACTAATCTAATAAGTTGAACAATCTAAATACGATCCTACTCTTGATTTTTTTTCTTTACATACCAGTCTTCAAGATTTTTCTCTAAATTTCTTAATGTATTCTCCATTGATTCTATATTTTTGTTTTAGCCTTCATTTTAGATCTTATCTTCATATGCTTTGTTATCCAATTCACTTTCCATTAGAGATAGCTTGTCCTCACTATCTTTTATTTAATTTCTCATATCCTTTAGTTAGGCTTTCAATTTGATTTTTTTATCTTTGAGATTTTAATATTTTGGGCCCACTCGTAAACAGTTTTACTGCTTTAAAAACTCATTATTTTTAATCTTTAACATTTTTTTCATGTCCTTTAACTGAGACTCTAAATCAGAAATTTCCTTATTAATATCTTGCAATTCATTCTAAAAGGTATCCTTAATTTTCTTTTCATAGTCAAGTTATTACAAGAGTAGAATTTTCTTTTGTTTTGAATACTCAGAATTATCTGGAAACATGCCTAAAATCTTTTACTTTTTAATCTTTTTTTCCTCTTTGAGAAAGTTTAACTGGTTGTGGATTCTTCCTATTTCTATTCTGTAAGACTATCTCTATTCATCATAGTATCCTGTAATATCCTTACTAACACTTACTATTTTCTTTTCTTCTATGTCTTTAATTTACTCTACCAACCTCTTTTATTCTTCAACAATGTCAATCAAATCATTACTTATGTATTCACCTTTTTTAGACTTCAACTATACTATCTCTTTTTCAATTTTAGCTAGTTCATCTTTCTCTTTTTGAATCTTTTACTCTTGTTTGGAGATTTAATTTTTCTGTGTGTTGTAGGCATAGTAATTCTCTCTACTTTACTCCCTTATCATGTCCTTCTCTCTTTCTATCTTCTGTTTCTAGATAGGAATGAGATTTTCCAAATTTTTTATATTCTCAAATATTTCATTAAGATACTCAGAGCCAGAAAATAGATTGACACTATTTTTAATGTTTTCCTCCACAACTTTTTCATTTCTTTGTTTGTCTAATAACGCTCTCTGTACACGAATTGCTTATTAGCATTCTTCGGATAGAGCCTTAATTTCCTTCTGAAAATGTTGTAAAGTATTTCTATTCCAAGAAATTGCATCACAAAACTAGATAAGTTAGATGATCTTTTCCTTCATGAGATTCGTTTTTGTCACTAAGTCATTTGTTGAATCTAAAAAATTCTTGCTCAATGCTGAGAAAGAAGTAAGGAAATTCATGATAGTTGTTCTCCTCTACTCTCGCTCGTTCAAATCTCTTTAAAAATCCTTTTCACTTAGCTTTTTATCTTTGTTTTCCTCTTTAAATCTCAATTTTACTTCCTCTTTTAGTACTTCTTTGCTTGGCAAAAGATTCAGAGTTTCGCTCAAGATCTATGGAATTTCACCCGCTTTCTTGATAACTTCTAATACAGACCTAGAACCTTCATTAGTTGACTGATTTGAGGAATTTGTTTGCTAATTAGAATCTTAGGCAAAGTCATCCTAGGTGGTTTCTGTTTTCATTGCAATAGATAACTTTAGATGTTACTAAAATATTATAGATATGGTAAAATAATAGAACTTGAATTAAAATTTACCTATAAATCATTAAATCAATCTTAGCTTTTAGATAGTTAACCCTCAAAAATCAGGGCTAGCTTTTTTATTTAAATCTATACTATACCATAATCTATCTAATTTGATTCAATGGGGTTTTGGGGTTTTGGGGTTTTGGGG